ATCCCGTCGGGAAGGGGGGATGAGAAGAGCGAGGACGAGGAGGATGCAAGGGTGAGGGAGGAGGAGGAGGAGGAGGAGGAGGAGGAGGAGGAGGAGGAGGAGGAGGAGGAGGAGGAGGAGGAGGAGGAGGAGGAAGACGAGGAACATGGAGGATAACGGGTGTATTTTGGACTGCACAGCTGTTGAAACCGATGTCTTGTCAGCGGAATGCGACGCCGCATCTATTCTAAAGTTTGAAACAAAGTATAACTTGTCCTGCGCTGGCGCCAGGAAGCAAGTACAGTACAGTACGATGGGACCCTCGCGGTAGAGCGGACGGAACGCGTTGAATCTGGATTGCTGTGCCCGTCTAGGGCACTCGGAATGGGCGGAGGGAGGGGGTGTTCAACTTGAAGAGAAAGAGGCGAAGGAGAAGGCTGGGACGCAAACCAACAACCTCCCGCTCTCGTAACGCTGGCCCCGCTCCCTTCCCATTGAAGCCAACCCCCTCCCTCCACGGTGGGCGGCGGCACACGGATGAAGGCATACAGTCTTCGTGTGCCGTGCCCTACCGGGACACTGGAGGAGAGGCGGGGGGGAGCGAATGATAATGCCGAGGAGAAGAGAGCAGGGCTGGGATACAGACGACATCCCTGTGCGACTCAGCAATGCAACGATGCCGACACACAATTATCATAGCTCCCCAGCAGTGGGGCTGGGGCACAGACGACATCCCTATGCGACTCAGCAATGCAATGATGCCGCGTGGAGGCACCACAGAGGGAATCACCATACGGAAATCTCGGCGAGGACAAGTGCAGTCCAGTCGGACCGCGGTGGAGAAAGAAGGTTTGTCTTCGCGCCGACGCCCTTCACGAGCGACGACAGACGGCGGCAACCCAACACGCACTTATAATAACTCCCCAGCAGGAGATGAGGGATCCCGCTGCTTCCAACATGGCGGCCGCGAAGGAGAGGCATGTCAGAGAAACCTCCGCGCTTGCACATGGCGCCTATGAAATATCCAGACTAGTGCGAGCAGGAAATCGCGCAAGGTACGCGTAGCATTATTCGCAGCGGGTGACAGACATACCAGCCTGAGCATCGTACCTAAGCGAGGAAGGGAAGATCGTCGCACCCTCGCGACACGGACGAATGACGGCGGCGGAGGCAAAACATTTTGCGCCGGAGGCTAAGCAAGCAAGTGTGCTGGTGGGAGGGCGGAGGGAAAGCAGGCGACTACCTTCGAGCTGGACTGGGATGGGGAGCGAAGCGATGGCAGCGGTGGCCGCTAGCAATCCCCGTGGACTGGGGCAACAACGACCCGGGTTTCAAAGTGTCGCTACCCGGCGTGCGTGAAGCCTCGCACAATATAGGCACAAGCCGATTCGCGGAACTGTGCAACACTGGTTACGAGAACGGAAATGTCAGGTATGTCACCACCGCCCTCAAAGCCAACCACGCGGGGTCGAGGTTACTCTTCGAGCGCAGCGCCACGCTCGGTACCTGGACGGTTGACGGTGACGAAGCGTTCACTGCGTCGCAGATGAACTGCAAGATGAACGCCCTGTCGATCTCGATCATCAGCCACAACATGCATTGCGAGGAACAGTGGAACAACTTGAAGGAACACTTTCGGGTATAATTCCAACGTCAAGCGAACCTTCCGGAAGATGTTACTAGCATCGCCGAATCTATGCAGTCGGGTGGAAGCGCGGGGGCTGGGGGAGGTGGAAGCAATCCAGCTAGCGATTCCATGGCCGTTCAACAGTTAATATGTTATCGAGTGACCAGACCAAGTTCAGGGAGTGGAGCGAGAAATTTTTGAACGCGCTCGCCCAAGTGACGCGCGGTTGCCAGAAGCATGGGCGCACTTGAACAGCAGACGTGCAACCATGGATGGTGCGTCATCCGATGACGAAGAGGACGACCGGATTCAGATTGTGAGCGGGAGGTTCACCCTGAACGCGCGTTCCAAAACATCGCTGACCAAGAAACAAGAAGACGACGCTAAAGGATAATCAGAGCTCGATAAAGACGACTACGCAAAGTTGGATTGGGACCTTTGGCATTTGTTAAACGGCAGATTGGACGGGGCGGGTCCACGGGGAAATTTAAATTTTACGTGCGAGGGAGATGCCTGCACAGTTGATCGGAACAGGAGTCACGCTGTCACGCAAAACGAACCTGGCCATGAGCCCAGCGTAGCCCCAGGATGGTGAACGACCCATGCTCGTTAACTTTGCCGTTCCGGGTTATTGGTTTGAGGATCGTCGCGGCTCGCGCAGGCGGTTGGTTTGGCGGTGGGCGCGGGGGCTGTTTCACAACGCCAGGGGCGTTTACTATTGGCGCCAACCAGGAACTTTTCATCGGTCGTGAGGATTGGGCCAGAAAGAGTGACGCCGACGCAAAGAACAACGATTCATTGGAGTTCGGCGAAGTTAGCGATGGAGGCGTTTTTTTTTTTTTTTTGGGGGGGGGGCGCGGCGCAAACGTGAACGAGTCCGGAGATTGTGGCGACAGTAAAAATTGGTAGACATGGAACGGGAAGACACGAGTTGAAGCTGCCGCGCGAACAGCATTAGCCAAAGATGAGGCACGGGTCAAGGGCCCATGTGTCAGAAGTGTGGGGGATGTGGATATGTTGCCAAAGACAGCGCATCGAAGGGAACACCGCCAAGGGGAAATGAGGTAGACAAGGTGGGCGCAACGGTGCCAAAGGTCACCAAGGAGCGCAGGTGGGAGTCTGCCAGGGAGGGCGCCAGAGCGCCACGGGCAATCCTGTGGGCCATGCCATATGCGGTTACAAACGGGGCCCCTCAGGGGCCGACAAATGGAGCCGAGCTCCAGGATGGACTGGGGGAGGTCATGTGGGGTTCGCGCAGATACGTAAGAGCGAGCGTTGCGCGCGCGGCGACAAGGGGTCACATCGCAGCGCGATGCCCCAGGGGGGCCGACAAGGTCGCCCCAGGCCCGGGGGGGCAGGGGGGAAGGGGGGGCCGGAGAGCTGGCGCAGATGTTAGGACAGTCCCAAGCCTAGGCCGGGCTGCTACAGCGCCGAGATGGGCGAGGCCGCTGACGGAGGTGGAGTAACCAGCCACGCCACGGCTCTGGAGCCAATTAAAGGAGCACAGGAGTGGAGGATGCAGCGCCAGGGAACAAGATGGAGACGCAGAGGGGCAGGGTCAATCATCAACGGGGGGTACATGCCGCAGGAGTGCATCGCTAACGGCGGGGATGGCGCCCACTGGTTTGGCCGACTCACAGATTGAATCGACGGGGGGAAAGTTGGGCGCAGACATGCGCTGCGCTGCAGCGAGTGGAGATGGAGTGGCCCGACGAGGAAGTGAATGTAGCGCCCGTAAGGAAACGGGGGGCGTGCGTGGAGACAACGGCTGCAACCGTGGGCGGTGGATGCAGGAGCCCACGGCGCGGTTGGGCCTCCGAGCGCGGGGGCCCGCTTGCCCGTCGAACCCGCGTGGGCCTCCAGGGGCGGCGGGCGCTGCGGCCTAGCCAATGGGTCAGCAGTAAGGAGCCATCGGCAGCGAATTATTGTGCGTTAAAGCGAGCAGTGGTCTACGGTGAGCATAGCCATCCAGGCGGCCGCCGCTGGAAACATGCGCTCGGGTCCGCGCGTGAGATGGCGGGCGCAGGGGATCTCGCAGCGCTAGATCGAGGCGAGGATGGGCGATCCAGCAGTTACCTCGAGCACGTGGCAACAGGTCGCATGACAACAGCCCGCGCTAAGAGCGGCAACTTCCAGTTTGCACTTCGAGCCCCGAAAGCAGTTGCGAGTCGAGAGGGGGCGAGAAATGTGGAAGGGGGTCAGCGGGGGGGGTGCGGCGGTTTTCCAGTGGGGGAATTTCGTGGCGGACCTGTTCTGCTGAGTCCCGCGGCTAAGCCCGCGACCCCGAATCAAAAACAAGTCATTATGAATTTGGAGGGCGACCGAGAGGGCGAGGATGGGGGCGGCGAGTTAAGAGGTGTCGAGGACGTGTTTGTAGGGGGCAAGGCCGAAGCATTCGGAATAGTCGCGCGCGACTGGGGGCCGCGCGACGAGGCAGTCGAGTTGCAGAGAAGAGTACGTCTACCACATCGGAGTTGCCGCCCGCGCTGCGTTGGGGGGGGGGCGCGGGGGGGCGCGCGGGCGCAGGGTGGCGTCGAGGAGGCTAGGGGCGCCTGCGATATCGATTACATGCGGTTAGATGGTAAAAAGTGAGTCGGCGCAGGGGGCGGAAAAGGGCGGCCCTTTGTAACCTGCGCTGCCGGAGTGCCAAGTCAACCCGGGGCCGCGTTTTACGCGGGGGTGGGGGCGGCCCCCTGCTCGCCCCGTGTTATTCGACATTTTGTTCACTGATCACGCGAGAGCATTCCTCTAGCGCGGTGGTGAGTCAGCCAATGAGTCAGCCATCGCGGCGTTTACAGGGGCTTTTAAAGCTTCCCGTGACCTGCGCTTCGATGTGGAGGTTATCCGTGTCGGAGATTTCCACGCAACCGGCGCTGTCGAAAGGGCGGTAATAACCACGAGGCCAACTCAGGACGTCAAGGAATACATTGCGCGACGAGTGAAAAGCCGAGTTCCCGGAGAGCACGGGCGCGCGCCTTGGCCAGCTACTCGCGCGTCTTTCGCCGTCGACATGCTCGCCTTGGCGCCGACGGAAGAGCGGCCCATGGGGGGCTGGGGGCGCAAGTTCGACAAGGCGTTCTCAGATTTGGGGAATGCGCCGTGCACCCCGGGCCCCCTTCTAATATGAGAAGCAGCAACCTCGGCACAAGACAAGATGGGAGAGTGTACTGTTTTTGGGAGTGCACGAAGCAAGCCAGGAGCTAGTCGTTGGCAGTCAGGACGGGGCCATCCAGTCCAGCGAGTCTAGGCGCGATTGAAGCGAGGCGGAGAGCTTGGATCTAGAAGAAGTTACCAACGTCAAGGGTTACTTTGGCAGCCGGATCCCGACGCACTTGGAATTGATGTTAAGACCAAGGCGATATTGCCCATGACAAGACAACCTATCATTTAGTAAACGCAAAAACAAGTTTACTACATTCAAAAAACGGATGTTCTAAACTCGGGGCCGTTTGTCTTAATCCCGGATCTTATGATTACCATGACATGAGTGGTTCGATCAGTTAATGAAAGATTCATGGTTTGTTAAGTCTTCTGCGTGTCGAGGTGCTTTGCGACGCACAGATCGTGCATCGCGAGTTAGGAGGCCCCTGCACGTTTACGCTCAAATCGTAGTCGCCTTCTGCCTGCCCCAGGCATGGTTTCAACTACTTTACGCGTCTACATTCGTCACAGGGCGTCGCATAGCTTCTGTCATCACAGTCATAACTGTGTGCTGTCTTACTGTGCACGTGCTTTTTTTGAATCAATTTAGTTCGCTCCTGCCCAGCTCGCTTTCTATTTCATTCGCCGCCCCATTTTGGCCATCATTGGCAAGAGGGGGTGCCATCACATGGCCACCCGAGTAGGTGGGAAGCATTGGCTCGCGTCCCGCGGTCAGGTGTTCGTTACCGCTGACATGTGGTCTAAATGCTAGATGTATTTTCAACAACAGGCGCCTGCCTGATCTTCAGGAGGAGGAGGGGGAGGGAGGAGGAGGAGGAGGAGGTGGAACAGGAGGAGGAGGAAGAGGAAGAGGAGGAGGAGGAAGAGGAGGCAGAGGAGGAATAACCGCAGAACCGAGCAGGTTGGTGGTCTTGCGGCCAAACTTACATCGGCAAGAACGAGGCGGAGGATAGCCAGGCGGTCCTGGCGTTTCTGCAGCTCCTCCTTCTCCCCTCCATTCCTGCTGCCCACCCCCTGTTCAGTTCACTCCTCGCTCGTCGTTGGCTTATGGCGGATGCCTGTTTGAAGTGTCGGTGTGTAGCTCTTGCATTGGCCAGTTCGAACGATGCAGCTTCTTCCTTCGCCTCCTCCGACCCCTCCATCTGTCAGTCTTCTGTGCCATTCCGGAGATGCTTCTGTGCAGCGGCCTGGGGGCGAGCACGGTAAGAGGCATAATCCCCAACGCCTTACCTTCATGACATCGTTTGGGCTTCACACACTTGGAGGCTCGCATCCCGTGTGGTCTATTTTGAGATTTCCCTGACGTTGGGCAGAAGTTGTCTTGTGCCTCCCTCTTCTCTGGACGCCCGACATGGGCACGGACAGACTGGGTACAATGCCCAACCGCAGTTCCTGCTCCTTTTGAACAGGACTCGCTGTCGGTGTCGCCGCGGCCTGTGTCCATTTGAGACAGAGGGCCGCCTGCCCAACAGCGGCCGCTGTTGTTTTGGGGCAGCATTTTCTGTTGGGCATTGTACCCGTTCTTTCCGTGCCCATTTCGGGCGTCCAAATCTCCCTATCATTGCCTGCCTCTCTTGTTACCTTTCTCTCTCACTGTTGCTCTCTATTTTTCTTTCTGTCTCTCACTGTTTCCTTCTCTTTCTCTCTTTTGTTTCTCTTTCTCTCTCTCTCTCTCTCTCACACTCGCTCTCGCTCTCGCTCTCTCTCTCTCTCTCTCTCTCTCTCTCTCTCTCTCTCTTCATATATATATATATAACTGTAGCGTTCGTGCATCGCTCTCCCTCTCTCTGTGCCTCTCGCTCCCTCACTTCCGCTATCTCCCTGTCTTCCTCTCTCTCCCCCTCCCTCTGTATATTTCTATGTATGTCTCTCTTTCTCTCTCTCTATTTTTTCTCTTTCCCTCTATCATCATCTCTGTTTATGTATTGTTATCTTTCTCTAATACATATACATACATCTATGTCATTGTTTGTCTCTGTCTCTCTCTCTCTCTCTCGCGGGATCATGTTTGCTTATTATGTATCTCTCTCTCTCTCGGTCTCTCTATCTCTCTTTCTCTCTCTCCCTCTCTCCCTCTCGGTCTCATTATCGTTCTCTCTCTCTCTATTCCTCCTTCGATCTCATGCTCTCTCCCTTTGGATTCCTTTGCCTGGAGACGGGCCCTCCCCAGCGGCCGATGCCAAGGAACCAACAAATGCTGGGACTGCACACGACACAGATCGTCGGACCTCTCGCTCTCTCTCTCTCTCTTTCTCTTTCCCTCTCTCTCTCTTTCCCTCTCTTCGCAGTCGATTTGCCCCTCCAAATATACCCTGGGAACCCCCCCCCAAGGGGGCTATTCGGACGCACTCCTATCGAGGATGGCCCCCCCCCCCACACCGAATATCTCATGGTTTGGCCCAACATGTCTGGTCCATTCGGAAACCTCCCAAAGTCTGACATAGGGGTTGACGCATCCCCTGCTGCCTCCCTTGCGGTCTCTCTCTCTCTCTCTCCCTGTCTCTCGCTCTTTCTCTCTCTCTCTCTCGCTCTCTCTCTCTCTCTCTCTCGCTCTCGCTTTCTCTCTCTTTCGCTCTCTCTCTCTCTCTTTCTCTTTCTCTTGTTTTTTTGTTCTCTCTCTCTCTCTCTCTTTCTCCCTCCTCACCAGGCTGCCAGCGATTTCTGCGCCGCGGTTCGCAGGAGGCCCGCCGCCGGGTGGTTCGCGAATCAGCCAGATGTGGAGCAGGAGCAAGGCGGAGGAGAAGGATGAGGAGGAGGAGGAGGAGGAGGAGGAGGAGGAGGAGGAGGAAGAGGAGGAGGAGGAGGAGGAGGAGGAGGAGGAGGAGGAGGAGGAGCAGCAAGAGGATACCAAGCTATTACCAGGCCTAGCTGATGTCTGCAGCCTGGCGGGCGCATGCTCTCAGGTTTTCCGATCCTGCACTCTCTTCGCGTTTCTTCTAGCCTGCCTTTTTCTCGCTGCGCCCGCCGGGCATGATTCGTTGGCGCTTCGCCGAAGTCGGCTCTGCGCACTGTTTTGGTTGCACTAGAACGCGGCAAGCTTGCGCTTCACGTCGGGGCAACGTCAAAACGGAGGAGGAGAAGGAAGCGTCTGGCTTCTCACCTTTTCCCTCATGGTCCCCCTCTCCCACCAAGGTCCTTGCCGGGTGGGAGGGGCAGGAAAGGTGTGCATGGCTGCAGGAGAACCCAGGACCGCCATGAGTGAGTGAGTAAGTGTCTGGCCTGATACCCACAGGTGAACACCCGATACAGTTCCCGCCACTGTACATCACAGTTGGCAGGTCTGGCTCCAAGCAGGTTTGTCAAACACGCCCGATACAGTTCCCGCCACTGTACATCGCCAAACGCTGCGCGTGCAAGCGCTCACATGGTACAGCACCCAGACAGCCGAAGGCAGACGAGGCGGTGATAGAGAATTGCAGCTTCCGCGCCGGCCGTGGACAAAGGAGCCCGCCCACGTGGAAATGGGTTTCTGCGGGTGCCGCAATAACACGGAGGAAATGGAGGTGTGTAGTCATTGCGGCCAGGCGAGATCGGATACGGCAGCTACAGCGCTGGCGTTGGGTGGGCCCCGTCTCTCCGTATTGCGGCAGCGGGCATCGTCAGTTCCGCCAACAGAACAGCATTCCGCGTGTGTCGGGGAACGGGGCCATTTTCAGTTCCGTTCTCCCAAGACTCGTGCCCAGAGGCCAGCGATAGCGGGCTCAAGCAACTCATCCATTGCAAGGTGAAGACTGGAGAATCCAAGGCCGCGGCAAAGTACCATGATCAGCCCAGGTCTTTCCAAGCACGCTCGGCGGTCTCCCCCGTCCAGGAGAGGGCGTCCGCCCTGCACGGCCGCATCACCCAGCTCGGGCGCATCTTGGCGCATGAGCTCGACGAGCTCAGCAGGATGCAGGAGCAGGCGGGGTTCCAGAAGACGGCGTTGGGCAAAAACCAGCAAGCCTCGAAGGAGGCATATTCACAGTTCAAAGCGTTGATATCAGGGTTGGCCACGGCGCGAGGAGTGTTGGTTGGCTGAGACAGGCCGACAAAGCTCCCCATCGCCAATGTAGTGACGGAGCGGCCACCGAAGCAGATGGCGAGTAGTCTTCGCAGGAGCCGCGGACGAACATGCCCTCTCAGACGAGGACCATAAACACTTGGCAGCCTGCAGAGTGTCTCTAAACAAGCATGTTCAGTGTATTGCTAAATATTTCTTTGCTGGGGCAGTTGGCGACTGCGAACGCATGCGCATACGACGCATGCAGCACTTGGAACGTTTGCAGCGCAATAGTCAACGCACCTCTGAGCCAGCGAGTGGCGAAGGGTTTGGCGCTGGAGGCGCCGCCACGTCCAGTCCAGACGCCCAGCCGCCTGCCGGAAGAAAAGGAGCCCCAGGGACCGCAAGATGGTTGATGGAAGTCGTACGGCCTTTGGGTTTTTGAATCGAACTGCTTGCACACATCGTGTTTTCGACGTGTGCGCGCGTGTTGTTTTGTTTCTGTTGTGTGTGCGTTTTTCTGCAAGAGATGAAGGGGGGGCGGACGAGGGAGGGGTGGGCGATATCGGCCTGGCAGGGAGATACCATTTGCTAAATGAAGGATGGGGCAGGATCATCAGGAAATTGCAGTGTCCCAGGGGGTATCGATAAGCCTAGGTTCGGAGGGTGGTGGAGTCTAATTTTTCTCGACAACAGAACCTGTAACTGGCCAGCAATGCCATTCAATCTGTATCGTGAAAGCTGCTTAGTGCAATATGCGTGCGGCAAGCTATGTTGTGCAATCTACGTCGTGCAGTCTTTGTGATACGCGCTACGTTGTGCAGTTTTTATGGCGCAGCAGTGTGGTTCAGTTCACTTGTCAGTGAATCTGACGCGACCCCAGTTAGAGAAAACTTTCCCAAGTAAGTAAGTAACTACCATGGCATGGCTTGCCATTGTTTGCCGTTGCTTTGCATTGTTTCGCCATGTTTGGTTTTGCTTGATGTTGCTTGGCATTGCCTTACATTTCCTGGTGTTGCCTGGCATTGCCTGGCATTGCCGCCGGGCCACCGGGCAACCCGTGAGGGCCAGGCGCGCCTCGGACGTGCGACGCCGAAGCCGCCCGTTTCTCGACAGACAGGCAGCAAGCCTTCGCGCAGAGCCTCATTGGGGAACTTCGCAACCGTCAATTCCACGGCTCGTCCAAATGATATCCCACCCACCCACTCGCAAAGTGTCGGCAGCACACAAGTGGGCATCGACAGCGATGATGA